AATGAAAGGATGCCTGCCACCGTAGTTTAGTGGTCGAGCGTGGGAACCGTTATTGTAAGGTCACAGGTTCGGTTGCTGCCGGTGGCTAATGACCTTTGGTCCAATTTTCTTTATTTCCATATAAGTTAAAACTGCTTGAAATAATATCCCCTATACTTTCCTTGATATAAATGTGTCTTAGTTCTCGGTCATACTTCAAACATAGATTCATTTCCAGCTTTCAACACAATGCAAACAAGTTAAAGAATAATTCACTATAGCAGCCAAGAAAGTCCTTTAATACAAACATTTCACCCCGTCATGACATACCCAAATAAACACACTATAGGCCAATCTCTTGTATTAGGTATGGACGACAGTTACTGAACTGAAGAAGAGAGGAAGAAGAAGATTACGACACCTTCAACCAACGCGCTCCTGGTTTCTCGAATTGGTAAGGTTCTCGCCTGAAGTAATGTGAGCATTCCTTCAGTCGATATATTCCTGATGAGTTATATCATTTTTCCTCGTTCGCGTGGCATAGATTGCTCAGAATTACGGGCAGATTTTAAGTATTTCTCCAATTACTCCCCGTAAAGTTGTGCCATGATCGCTCTATTATGTGATGCTTTCCTGATTGTTAAATACGAGAATGACGAGGCCCAGATGATTGTTCACGAACATGGTACAGAAAGGAAATATTCCGAACAACAATAGAAATGTGGACATAAGTTGGTCGGGTGTTGATCTTACTGCAACGGCTACAGTAGGGGGACTGCATAGCGGTCCTTACTACGCCCAAGTGCAATATACCCTAATATCACCCCCAGTGCCATGCACTGGGCAAGTGAGGAAAAGCTTGGGAGATAGTTCACTGAAGGGGGAGGGGTATTTTTGAAATGAGAGCGGGTAAGGAAAGAAGTTAAATAACGCAGTAACTGTCTCTCAGGCGAGGGCACAGATGGTCAGTGCGCGAAAGGTCAGGGTTAAAGCTACGCAAGCTTTGGAAAAAAGTGCATGCAGGTGTTACGAAGGTTTTTGCCTCGATAATCTTGCTGCTTTCATTAACTAAAAAAAGCAGTAAATAACGCCATGCGGAGAAGCGCGAAGGCAATGGTAAACAAGTAAAAGAATACTAATAAACAAAATTTGGCAGCTACCACGTACAGTGGGAATCTATGATATGCGAAGCACGAATGAGGAAGGTTGATATGTCACTATAAAATAAGCACAACGTTACGAGGTGGAGGTAAATTAAGCCATACATCACTTCCTTGTCATGATCATCATGTTTGAACGTGTCATTTACCTTCGTCGTCTATTCACGTCACCTGATACTAAATTTTGTATATATGGAGCTAGCGAAACGGCCACAAGCGCATCATGAATGGCCCAATACACTCCGACGTAACGTTGACGCAAGTTCACGCTGAGCACAGCAACGCTCCGCTAGCAAGGCGAGCACTCTAGACGCCAGGCGTGACCGGCGCGACCAGCGTTGCTTGTAGTCATGTTCTCACATGACGCGCATCTCTTGATTATTATGTTTGCACCAGTCACATACTTTCGTCATCCATTCACGTACCGTAATACCAAATATGGTATATGTGAAGCTAGCGAAACGGCCGCGAGCGAATCATCAGCGTGGCATGTAGTCATGTTGTTACATAACACGCATTTCATGATTTTCATGTTTGCACCAGTCATATACCTCCGTCATCTATTCACCTCCCGTAATAACAAATTTGGTATATGCGAAGCTAGCGAAGCGGTGCAATCATGTGCAGTCAAAAGCCATGCATTCATGTCATACAATACCATGGAGATTTGCAACATGCCATGTGAACGAAACCACCGCAAGAGTTGCAGGACCATGAAATGTAAATCATGACATTCATAAGATATATGTAATGATTTTCATGTTATCACTAGTCAAATATGTTCATCATAGTCATGTAATGCCATACCAAGTTTGGTATCGCCACCAACATTGAAACGGCCAGGAGAGCTAATTGTCGTTGGTGGCTAGATAGATAGATAGATAGATAGATAGATAGATAGATAGATAGATAGATAGATAGATAGATAGATAGATAGATAGATAGATAGATAGATAGATAGATAGATAGATAGATAGATAGATAGATAGATAGATAGATAGATAGATAGATAGATAGATAGATAGATAGATAGATAGATCAAAGCTGCCAAAGTTCGCTAAGAAATGCTTCGCATTTAATAGACAGGACTGAATTTCTTGTTTGGTATTTTCTTTTGTACCACTTTGGCGTTTCATGTGCGTGAAAACAGAGCACTCAGTTTTTTTTTCCAACTTCCCACGAAGTTGCCACAAGGTCTACCTAATTCCAATTTTCTTATAAAGTTCTCCAGACCTTTTTTTTGTGACATGCTTCACACTAAGATTCCGAATAAGGAAGTCGTGTTTCATTTCTGGGATTTATAATCGGTTATAACCTAGATTAGCTATATGCAGCCAAAGTTGATAATCACACTCTTTCAGAACGATAGTTTTAAGCGTGCAAAACCTAATCGGCAAGTTAAGCATTTCTTTCAAGGGCCCATAAACTTCCCAGAGTTCGACATTCATTAATGGTGTTGCACTAGTGCTCGAGTGTAGAACGAAAACTTAGCTATTATGGCACCACTTCGAATATTTCTCACAGCTGAGTTTCACTTGATGATCTAAAAGAGGCGTTCGTTCGTTATCTCTTTACTTTGCTATGCTCCGTTTCCCGACTTCTCTCTGCTCCTTGCCGAGTACTCCTCCTTTCTTTGCGAGAAGGAAGAGCGGTGAGCGTGTGTACCTGCGTGCAGGCATACACATTCTTCTCAGGAATGAAACTCCGTAGCCCGGCTCCCCACCATCGCAGTCGAAGCTCCCTGCAACATAGATGCGGCGTCGGCGCAACAGTATAATTAAACGATCCATGAATGTCAAAGCCCTGCACCAGCGCCAGACAAGCGCGGCGAGCAAAACACCAGAGGCGCTATCACTTCTCTTAAACCTGTTGCTGAACCTGTGGTGTGCTGCCTTGCGCACGATTGCCATTCCCTACCCAGCAGTAACAAGCTGACCAGTTTGAGGTCACCCGAGTTTTTTTTTTCCATGGTGCTGAAGTTAACAAGTGAGAGCACACTGTCAATAGTCCAATAATGTTTTCAATCAATCAATCAACCAATCAATCAATAAATCAATCAATCAATCTTAGCCCTGTCTCTCGTTGATCGTCTCTTTCCTCTCCCCGCAAGTCGGTGAACGTGTGATACCATCGTTTTAGCCTGTCGTCCACCCAGTGGTTAGTCCGTTGAATAAGCTGGTTCGCTGCGCGCATCGCACGCTCTCTGGCTTAGTCGTTCCCACCGCCAAGCACAGCAGACGCTCTCCCCACCCGCTCCCCACTCTAGCAGTGAGATCAGGCGCATAGTCCTTTACATCCAATTCCAAAGAATATTCGCTCGTAGGTTGTATTCGTACACAGAGCAACTGCTAGATTTTGTGGATGACATCAGTAGACCAAAGTGTTGATGCCACGGAGAATGCCGGGATGCTGACGATTATCGAAAGGCCCTGGGAGGAGTAGGAATTGTTTCTATGAATTCGTGTTGCACCCGCGGCCCGTACAGTTGCCGCGTTTGACATTGTTGATCACAATGACAATCTAAACTCGATCCACGCGTTTCATATCGGGCATGGTTTAGAAGCCATTTACCAACCATAAGCTACAATGGTTCAGTGAGCGAGTTTGTGCAGTGACGATCAGATTATGATTACGGTATGGCGGTATTTAAGGGAAAACCTATGCATATAGGTGTTTAAATGAAATATCAATAGAAGTGATCACCAACAAAATGTTTAAGAAACGTTTATGCATTGAGGGTCATTCATTATTACGTAATGAAAACAAATCAGGTGTTTCGCACTTGCAGGATTGAAATTAATGTAAAGCTCACGCTAAATAATTGTCTTGTGCCATCAGTCGAATATTTATGTCATAATTACATGACCCGAAGCCAATAAGACTGTTCGTTCTTAACTCGGTGTTTGTATCTACATCTCCCATCTTTTAGATAAACCATACCAAATTTATCCTCATATCTAGCAGTCCGTCTCATGCTCGTTCTGGCACTTCTGTAGTCTATAGTTACATTTGTACATGCCTCAAAACATTATTTTTGGAATGGCTTCATCAAATAAGGTGTGCATCTCGATCAACTAATGACAGCTATACCTTAGAACGTCTTGATTTTGCGGATACGAGACTTACTAAGGCGGATACCTGAGATGTTCGTCAAACACAAAAGCTGAGTGCCAACGTCGTCCCGCGTTATCGGTGTCAGCAGAGTGAGGAAAAAAATCACATGCTGACGTCACAAATTACCAAAATTTATGACGCCACCATTACGTGATCATTGCGTTAATATTATACGGGGTTTAATAACACGATATGATTACGAGGGGCGCCGTAGTAAAAGGCTCTGGAAATTTGGAACACCTGTTTTTATATCGTGCACTGACTTCGCACAGTACATAGACCTCTAGCGTATTGCCTCTACCGAAATGAGTCCGTAGTGGCCAGATTGAAGGCCCTAATCATGAATCGGCAACCAAGCACTAAAACCACTAGACCAGCGTGGCCCATGGGAGAATCAATATATCGACCGAAAAAAAAATATGGTTTCGCCTTGAAGCTGTCAGCCGAATGTAAAAATATACCATGGGTTTTTTTTTGTAAATGTTTCCTAAATGCAGGGAGACTTCATTCTAGTGGTTCCCGGTGCAACGCCAGCACATGGGCCCCACGGCGATCACGCCATTCCTGCGGTTATTGCGGCAAGATTCACGGTTGGCGACGGCGCTGAGAGCCGTCTTTCTGTGCGGCGCTGGCCACTACTTCTGGGCGTTCTTTTTGACGTCGTCGACAGAGAGCTCACATTTATATGGCGAGCAATGGGAGCGGCCCATTCCAGTAGGTTACCGCATTCGAACTTCGGGCTGCACGATGCCCAGGTTCGACCCATTCGACCCGACGGTGAGGCCTTTCATTCGGCGCGGCTTCAAGCGTGCCCAGTGCGAAGGAAAACCTAACTTTCTCACCTTAAGGTACGCCTTTCTTCGTATAGAAAGAATGCTTTAATCAATCAATCAATCAATTCATTAAATATTCTATTTGTCACGTAGTTTATTTACGTAGAGACCTGCTGGAAGGCCAAGAAACGCCAGAAGAGCGAGGAACGTCAATAAGCCGAAAATACAAAACAAGTGCAAGCTCCGGTCGCGCGTGTGCACCAACGCTGTGGCTTGCCGTTTCTTGCTGCTTCATCGTCGTTCGCATAGTTGCCTACATTGGCCCCCGGTGAATAGCGTAGCCAAACTGGCGACTGAAGGCGTAGTCACTATAGCGGGGTCGTAATACGGCTTCAGGCGACTCACATGCACAATTTCTCGGCCACGACGGCGTAAGTCATGAGACTGTGTCAAAGGCTCAATCTAAAAATTGACTGGTGACGTACGGGCGAGAATGCGGTAGGGCCCGTGGTATCGTGCCAGCAATTTCGACGAAAGGCCAGGAGTGCTCCGCGGAATCTAGAGCCAAATGGGAGCACCAGTCGTCAAAGTAGAGAAATGTCGGTCGGTCTCATGCCGTAGCTTCTGGTGGCCTTGGTCCTCGGTTGTCAGTGAACGAGCCAATCGTCTGCAATCTTCTGCGTACCTGGCAACATCAGAAATTGCAGTGTACTCAGAGGAATCGGGCGTGTGCGGGAGGATAGTGTCCAGCGTGCACGATGGTTCGCGTCCGTACAATAGAAAAAAAGGGGAAAACCCTGTTGTCGCGTGCGTAGCGGTGTTATACGCATACGTGACGAATGGAAGGACAGTGTCCCAATTGGTCTGGTCTGAAGCTGTGTACATTGTCAACATATCACCGAGAGTGCGATTAAATCGTTCTGTGAGGCCAGTCGTCTGCGGATAATATGCTGTCATCATGCGATGAGCCATGTTCCACTGAGCGAGCAAGGCTTGCATGGCGTCAGACAAGAAAACACGCCCCCGGTCGCTCAAAAGTTCCCGGGGAGCACCATGGCGAAGAACGAAGTTGCGCAAGATGAAAAACGCAACTTCCCTCGCGGTTGCTGCGGGTAGTGCTGCCGTCTCCGCGTAACGCGTGAGGTGGTCCACGCCGACAATTATCCACCTTTCCAGAAGACGACGTGCGAAGTGGTCCGTATAAATCGATACCGACGTGATCAAATGGACGCGCTGGACAAGGCAGAAGCTGAAGTGTACCGGCAGGGCGTTGAGGTGGTGCTTTACGTCGCTGGCATGTAGTACCAGCACGTACGTACTTGCGAACAAATGTGTACATGCCGCGCCAGTAGTACCGCTGACGTAGATGGTTGTACGTTTTGAGAGCGCCGGCATGAGCGCTTTGCGGGTCGTTGTGGAAAGCTGTACAGATTTCCGGGCGCATGTGGTTGGGTATCCCTAACAGCCACTTCCGACCTTCAGACGTGCAATTCCGCCGATAGAGGAGGTCGTCTCGAATAGCGAAATGTGTGGCTTGACGGCGGATAGTTCTTGAGACCAAATTAGCTGACGGATCAGTCAGAAAAGCGAGGAGTTGGGAAATACACACATCTTTGCGTTGTTCCGATGCCATGTCTGTGAAGTCGATCGGTGTTATGACAGCTGAAGAAGGTGACGAGGAGGTTGGGTCAGCCGGTAGCGCCGAGCGAGATAGCGCATCAGCGTCCGAGTGCTTGCAGCCGGATCGGTATACAACACAAATGTCGTATTCCTGTAGGCGAAGCGCCCTACGACCAAGGCACCCCGACGGGTCTTTGAGCGATGATTGCCAGCATAGAGCGTGGTGGTCCGTAACGACTTCGAAAGGGCGGCCTTAAAGGTATGGGCGGAACTTCGTCAAAGCCTAGACAATTGCGAGGCACTCTTTCTCCGTGACGGAATAATTACACTCGGCTTTCTTGAGGGTTCGACTCACGTAAGCGACCACGTATTCTTGGTATCCTGGTTTTCGTTGAGCCAATACAGCACCAAGACCGACACCACTGGCGTCAGTGTGAACCTCTGTAGGCGCATCGGGGTCAAAATGACGTAGTATTGGAGGTGATAATAATAACCGCCGAAGCGCCTGGAAGGATTCGTCGCACTCTTTTGACCAAGCAGAAATGCCTTTAGAAGTTGTCAACAGGTTGATAAGAGGCGCGATGATGGAAGAGAAGTTCCGCACAAATCGACGAAAGTATGAGCACAGGCCGATAAAACTTCGAAGCGTCTTGATGTAATTGGGCTTCGCATAGTCGGCCACGGCGCGGAGTTTCGCCGGATCCGGGAGAACACCCTCTTTGCAGACGACGTGACCCAGTATAGTGAGCGGACGTGCGGCAAAATGGCACTTCTTGATGTTAAGTTGAAGGCTAGCAGAGGTGAGACACGTGAGAATAGCACGAAGACGAACAAGGTGAGTCGGAAAGTCGCGAGAAAAAACGACGATGTCGTCTAAGTAGCAGATGCACGTGTTCCACTTGTAGCCGCGAAGGATGGTGTCCATCATACGTTCGAAGGTAGCTGGGGCGTTGCAGAGTCCAAACGGCATGACGTTAAACTCATACAGCCCATCATATGTTACAAATGCAGTCTTCGATCGGTCAGGGTCAGCTATTGGAACTTGCCAATATCCTGAGCGTAAATCTAAAGAGGAGAAATATTCCGCACCTTGCAAGCAATCGAGAGCATCGTCGATGCGTGTCAACGGGTACACATCCTTCCAAGTTATCTTATTGAGCCGGCGGTAGTCGACACAGAATCGGATAGACCCATCCTTTTTGCGCACAAGTACAACAGGGGACGACCAAGGGGTCTGCGATGGCTGGATGACACCACGCTTGAGCATATCGTCGACTTGTTCGTTGAGAATACGGCGCTCTTCCGCTGAAACTCGATATGGTCGTTGGCGTAAGGGAGCATGAGTACCAGTCCGGTGTCAATGTGGTGCGTGATGTTCGCTGTGCGACCCAAAGATGGTTGGCGCAATCGAACGCAGAACGGAACTCTCGAAGAAGGGAAAAGAGTTCGCGTCTTTGTGTCGGTGATAACTCAGCGGCAACAGAGGGCTGGAATGAGTCTAGCGCGGGCAGTGTGGCCACAGGTGGCGTCATGGCATTGAGCTGGAGGTGATGTGGGTGTTCGGCAAACTTCAGAGGGCGCAAGAGGTCAACGTCTTGTATGTTACCCAAACATTCTCCGCGAAGTAAGGTAACTAGCGACGATAGCGAGTTCGCAACGAGCATGGTTGTAGCACCGGATTCCACGGTGAGTATGGCAAAGGGCAGGTGTATGCTACGGCGGCGGGTAAATACGTCAGACGGAGTGAACAAAACAGTTCCGGCAGGAGCGGCCGTACAGGCAGGGCTACAAGGGTAGATGTTCTCGGTGCTATTTCCGTGTCTGCAACAACGACAAGTTTGTAAGCTTCAGAAAGAGAATCTACCAAACAAGAGGTTGGCAGTGGTGTAAGGGCAACTTCTGCACGTGAGCAATATATGATGGCCCGATGACGCGAAAGAAAGTCCCATCCAAGAATGACTTCGTGGGAGCATGATGCCAGCACAAAAAATTCAACGGCAAAAAGTTTACCTTGGATAATGACACGTGCAGTGCACACAGCTGTAGGTTCTATGCTCTGCGAGTTGGGCGTGCGGAGTATGAGGCCTGAAAGAGGCGTTGTCACATTTTTCAACTTGCGGCATAAGGTCTCACAGATTATGGAAACGGCGGCTCCTGTGTCGATGAGCGCTTGTGCGGCGGTCCCCTCAACATTCACGTCGACAACGTTTTGCGGCGAGAAAGATGGAGGCTTTAAGCAGTTCGAATGGTATGCAGCTGCTGCCTCCGGAGCTGCAGCGATCAGTTTCCCTCATCCGTAGCAGGTCGGCGACGCATAGGTGACAAGGAGCGTCGTCGAAGCGATGGTGACCGATGGTTTGCGTATGGTCAATGACCATCAGTGGTGTACCTTGATGGCGTTCTAGACGACGACGCAATTGGCCTTCCCATGGTGTCAACTGGAGGGGGATCTCGGCGACAGTGGCGGGCGACGTGTCCAGCAATACCACTGGCGAAACAGATGGGCCTATTATCCGGCGTCCTCCAAGCGTCTGCGCGACGGTAAAATGGAGCTGAAGATCTCGCGTAGGGATAAGGCGCAGCAATGGGGGTTGTAGGCACGACATAGGGCGGCGTGGCAGGTTAAGCATACGGCATACGCGGTTGCGTAGGCCGAGCAGTGACGGCGGCGTACGTGAGAGGCGTAGTGACAGGTGGTTGCTGACGCATTGGTGGAAGGGCCTCAGTGACTTGGGTTTGAATGGCGTGTTGGAGGTCCGGTGCCAAAGCTTGCGCGGACTTATGTGTCAGTGGCAGCAGTGACAGCTGGCGCGCTACCTCTTCGCGGACGAAGTCCTTGATTGTCGAAAGCAGCGGCTGCTGATCGGTAGGATGGGCAGCTAAGTGCAAGCTTGCGAGCGGGTCTGGCGTCGTGAGGGCTTGGCGAGCACTTGCGCGCTGCCTACGCAACTCATCGAAGCTCTGACAGAGAGAAACGAGCACAGCCATTGTGGGGGGATTTCTCGCGAGCAAGATTTGAAAGGCGCCGTCGTCAATGCCTTTCAAAATGTGCCTGATTTTTTCTTCCTCAGGCATGGTAAAGTTGACGTGGTTGCATAGATGCAACACATCTTCAATGTAGCCCGCGTAGGTCTCGCCTGGTTGCTGCGCATGGTGACGTAAACCGTGCTCGGCTTGAAGCTTGCGTGCCGCAGGTCGTCCAAAGACGTCCGTAATAGTAGTCTTGAAAGCAGACCACGTAGGAATGGAATGTCAGCTGCGTGGTTGTTAAACCACAGTTGCGTGGTGTCCGCAAGGTAAAACGTGACGTAGCCCAGCTTACTTGGGTCGTCCCATTTGTGACTTGCGCCGACTTTGTCGTACCTCGCCAACCAATCTTCGACGTCCGACTCAGTGGAGCTCGTGAAGATAGGAGGGTCTCGTTGAGGATACACAGCGCCGCAAGTGACGTGGAC